TCATCAAAAAGACTATAGCAATTTGTCAAAAAACAATCTTGGGGCTGGTGAAAAGAAAGATGTATAGAATATATGGACCTAGCATGTTTTAGAACACTAATGAGACAACGATGAAATGGGGCTATTTTCTAGGTGAGCGAACACAGGATAGGATGCTTCTGATCAAATTGCTTACTCTATGACATGCGCTTCAATAAAGTTAACAGAACAAGAAAAAGGAAGGTGCACAGGTGGAAAATGAAACAGTTTTCGTTTCAGATGGGTCAGACTCTCCGCGGAAGATGATCGCCAATACGTCGACAAATTTCTAACGTTTATCAGTGAGCGCTTTCCAGAAAAGGCACTCTTAATTTGCTAACCACTTTTTAAATTTTTGTTTTTTAAAGCTTTTTCATCTTGTATTAAGATCTCCAGTGGTACCATGTTTGGAACAGAAGTACCCAGTGAAGCAGAATAACCGTAGTGTTGCCCAATCGACTTGTTTCGCAAATTATTTATGAGACGAAAGAAAAATTCTACCACTGTGTCGATAGCTTCTGAAATTGTCTTCCAACTTGAACGACTTCAGAGTGACCTTCCGCCACTCACCGATTTGACTAGGCCGCTGTGGAGGGAAGTGCTGCTCCGTGAGAAACACCAAGCACTTCCACGGAATGCCGACTGGTTGTCCACGGTGCTCATAGCAACTGCGAAGGTTAGCTTCCTTTTGCTTGCTCTCATCTGAAGAACTACACGGGTCGGTTATAACTTGACATAACTACCATACAAACAAGTCCTTTTTATCGTTTTACGTAGAAAATTTTACTTCTCTCGCATAGATCCGCGTTGTAACTACAAATATACGACCATTAGCTAATGTCTTAAAAACTTACCTTCACTAAATCACGGTAATAATAATCCGTTTCATACATGAATTAGATGACAGGGGATAGATGAAAACCCTTATTCGGCTAATATCTCGGCGTCTTCACCTTCCTCAGAGCCGTGTCGATCCGAATCGATGGTCCATGACTGGTCGTTATCGTGATGTGGATGTTCGTTGTCACATCAAGTCGAGTCGAATCCAGTGGATGGAGTACCTCTCAAATGCGGAAATTCACTCGGTGGTGTCCTTTTATACAGGGCGGACTTAGGCCGATTATCGCCACCCAATATGGTCCACTTTTTGACTCTACAGACTCAACTATCACCTAATGTTAAGTGATGCGAGTAGAATAGATTGAAAAAGTAACAGTGGGAATATTCGTTTTTATTGCCGAGGTGGGCGTGTGTGACGCAGTGGTTGGAGATGCTCTGCGAGACACGTGGAATCGATATCCGCGCTCATGACCCACCAAGCCTTCCATTCCTCTGGGGTCGGCAAATTGGTACCAAACTTGTTTGGGACGATAGCAGCACTGGCCCGATGCATCGGTAGGCCACTGCAAGTCATTTCAAGGGCCAGATATCAATTCAATCACTCCAGACGATGCTTATTGAAGTCGAATGCATGGCGCGTCGCTCAGAGATTGATCAACACAGGGCTTTACCCCTGTTGTCCTTTACTGTCTAGGTATTTCTTTCTTTTCTTCCGTTATCTCACGCTGGTATTCCTCCATCTTTCTTTGATTTGCTCACACCCATAAATTTTCGGGAATGTACGTCCCTTGCTTATTAGCATTCCATAAGGATTAAATGACTCATAGTAGAGGAAAACATTTGCCTCGGGGATTTGTTTACTTATAATGTTTATATGATCCGGCTTTACATATCATTCGAACCCCACCACTCCAATCATTCGATTCGCTGTCACATCTGTCATCCACGGAAATGCTTCACGGTTGGGGTGTAGGTGAGGATGCTTGTTAAAAATTTCAGCCTCTTTTTCAATCAGTGTTGTCGAATTCCCCACGACCGACTTTCTTTTAACTTCGGCATTGATTGATAATTCGATGTTTTCCTTCAATAAGCAAACACGAGGTTGTTATTATAGGATTTATTAGGATACAATAGCTGACGTTTCGGCGGTTTGGCCTTCTTCAGAACCTGGAAAGATCAAATTGAGATGCGATCTACTCCGCCAAACACTTTCATAACCCCAGCAGATAAAACTTAACAAATAAATTTGTATTCGCATAAGAAACAGCTTCATTTAAACACTTACCGTTTATCTGTTGTAGGTATTTAAGTTAATTCATGGATAGCAGCCGCACAGAGTAATGCATGGGGAGGACTGTGCCTGTGTCAGGCAATTGGATCAGCCTGAGGTATGGCGCCAGGTCACGCGTGATGACAAGACACTCCTCCTTGCGGTTCTTTTTTGGATTTTTGGAATTGATCCAAAATGCTCTAAGAGTTTTACGATTACGAGTTTTACGAGAGCTGATGTTTTCGATTCGTGTGTGAGGATAGTGACTCCTACTTCAAAATCTTCTCCGCTATGTTCCTGCATCCTATGCGCGCCTAATGGAGTGTTTCGTTTTAATTTAGATTCATTGACTAGGTGTTCTTTCATGCGAACGCAGAGCGGTCTACCCATTTCGCCAACGTATTCACCCCCACGCGCTTTGCAAAAAGCTAGGTACACCGTACCCAAACTCATGTAATCACCGTCTTTACCGTTATTATACAATTACATGCTTCGCAAAGACGGTCATATAGGCGGTTACGAACTAGCTGTCGTCTGAAAGTTTCAGATGGTATTTCTATCACTATCATCGAATTCTTTAGACTGGCCTTTGTTACGCAGCTTTTTGTAACTACACTTATTCTGGAGGAGATAAAGGGCAAGAGGAACGGAGCCTTGTTTTCGCTAGAATTATCGCCCTGGGGCGTGGGTTTTCCTCTATGCCTATGCCGAGAAGCTTCAGTTTCGTAACCATTTGAAATGGCAATTTGGCGCACCAGTTTCGAGGATTCTTCCCTCTGATCTCTACCTGTGCACACGCTGGCAGCGGTTCGAAACATATTTCTTATAAGCGCCCTTTTAGTGTGTGAGGGATGAGAGGAGAAGTAATGAACCATATTCTTACTGCTTGGCTTTCGATACTATCTTGTGTTTTAGCCGTTTTTGGATAGGTTGATTTGAACGTTTAGAAATGGAAGCCAGTTTTCTTTCGGTATCTCACGGGTGAATTTTATGTACTCTGACTGTTTGTTCAATAACTCAAAGCGTTTGTTCATCTCCTGCTGTGTGGAGCAGAAAAAAACGTCAGCGAGTGTTGTCGAATGTTGCTTGAGTTGATCCCCAGTGGTCTTCTGCAATAATTGTGCAAGGGCGTTTTCAGACTATTATACGAAATCGCCGACCTTTATGGATCTGAACGAGTTTTTACCAAATGAGCTTGGAACCGATTTTACGAAGCCGGTGGTATAGAAGGCTTGGCTGATCGTGGAGTGGTCAAGCCTACTACCAAACATTTACTGCACGGCATCTCTAACAAATGCGCTTTCAGCGCTTAGCAGAAGAACAATGCAAAAGTGAACTTGCAATTCAATTCATTGAATGGGCCACCGCGAGCATCAGATATTACAATTTGCTGCTCGTAGACGGGCTTAATGAGACTTCTTGACCATCATGTTGTACCTATCTGCGAGTACAACAAAATCCGTTATCGTGTTGTAAACTGAACTGGTGGGATGCTGTCGAGTTAGTGGTATTCTATTTCGATAGTAACTGTGGGCGTATTTCAATAAGTTCAAGAGATCTCGCATAGTCATATTTAACCAATTAAAGGGTAAAGGATAAAGTTGTCAGCGTTGATCAGTCTCTGAGGGGATGCGCCATGCATTCGACTTTATTAGGTATCGTTGGAGGTGATTGAATGCATATCAGGCCTCAACAATGGCTCCCGGTGACCTACCGATGTGTCAAGCCAGTGCTGCTATCCTCCTGGACAAGTCCAGTACCAATTTACTGACCCCGGAGGGATGGGAGGCTTGGTGAGCCACGAGCGCGGCGATCGATTCCACATGTGTGTCGCAGTGGCGCCTCCAACCACTGCGCCACGCTCTTCTTCACATCTTCATCAATTATTTCTATTAAACTGACGCCCAGACAATCACCAAGCGCTGGTAAGACTCTGTGCGGCTTGTTTCCATCAGTATGGAAGACCTATAAGGAACAAAACGGCTTTGAAGCATGCGAAACCGCCGATACGTCAGCCGGTGTTGAAAAGATCATGTTATTGACAACTTCGTGTCTGCTACGAAAAAACATCAGCTGGTGATAGAACTCTATTCAACACTCTGTTGTCGAGTGCAAAGTATTGCAAAAATGCGCGATTTTTGACAACTAAGTTGTGAAATTTTAGGCATTTTAACTAGAGTAGTTGACTAGTTGAAAGATTTCTAGTTCAACATTTGGTTTTCACTTACAATACCAGTATCCACCACCGTCCTGGTATCAAGCTGGTCGCATGGTTGCTAATCACCCTCTGATCAACAAATACGGCGAGTGCCTGTGGTGATGAAGACTTGGGGCAGACTTTGGCCAGGGTGTCCTCAAGATTCCAAGGAACCACAGTGACTTTTTCACGAGAATTTCACGCATTTCACGCAACCAGCAAATTTCACGAGAATGTAAATTCTGCTGAGGCCCGCACAGCCAGTGAATACGGGCCATCCAAGTTTGCATTTACACCTCTTCTTTTTTCATAGCAAGGTATTATGTAAAATGCAATCACAAGAATGGTGAGATGTGAGGAAAACTAGAATCTCAGATGGGCTTTGAACTATGGGTAAAAGTATTTTGGAGACCGCCTTTCATTTAACCTCGGCATTGCCAATCAACATGTACTTTTCCACTGAGAAGCTAACACGAAGCTGTTAGGAACTTTATCGCTAGTTTTCCCGCACATGAAGGGAATCCGATAGTATAGCTGATGAAGAACAAGTTGCTGAACTCTTAACAACAGGATGTAAGATTGAAAAACATCACTTTCTTTTTTGGAGAGACTTTAGAAACTATAAATTGACTACGTTATTCCTCTATTCAGGTGCCGCAGCACATCTACGACAGAATGACTTTCATCGCTTACGAATGGACGACTCCACTTACCTTTGATTCTTCACTGATTCCAGTTTTGCTTGGTCTTCTTCCTTCAGATGTATGTTCTCCTCTCACAGCTTCACCTGTGCAGTATTGCTCATCCGCACGCCAGCCATCAAACCGATCCGTGACATCGATGGACAGAATTTTTTCTCCAAGAGTGGACATTGTCTCTATGTACGCTGAGAGAGGCAGGAAGCTTTTGATGAAGACCAACAGGCGAATGATAGCTACTGAAGACGAAGAAGTCCGCTCTTTAAAAGAAAAGATTAAGAGAAATGCCAGGATACAGCGTGAAATGGAAGAACACATCAATGGGGAAAGAAGTTTCATAGAGAGGATTCCGTTATTATCTCATAGAACGAAGATGGACCACCTTGCTAATCCAAATGTCTTAACGAGGGCTCCGCTTCGACCTCCACATAAAAGTGGTAAAAATAGTGCAGAGGCAATAAATAAAGGTTTACGACTTTTAAGTAACAAATTAAGCCAGTTGGATATGCATCTTAAAAAACTCGAGGTCGGAAACGTATCAATGAATAATTCACGAGACGGCTGTATAGAAGAAATTGCACCGGATCTTCAGAGTATGTCTACATACCGTTCTGATGAAGAAGAAGAAGAACTCGATCTGAACTACGAAGAAACCGCAGCTGCTATGGGACCGATGCCCGAAATTGACAAATTGGATCTCAGTCTTCTTTCACCATCTGTTGACGTTAGAAGACAATTTATCTCAAGCGAACTTCCGAATCTAACCAAGACCTCGCCACAACGAGCCCTGACTCAACCAGAGTGGATGAGACTTATTCCAATTGGGGAAACAAATTCTTCTCGTTTACCTCTACTCCAGTACAGTCCACCAAAGCAAAGAGAATCAAAGACCGAGAGAAGCACTCAGACAGATGCATTCAGAAGTGTGTCATCGAAGACGGTCTCCACCACTGATGATGAGGGAAACCCAGCTGACAGTGGCTTCCTAGATGATAAATCGCCTAAGAAAAGGATTGAAATCATAAAACCAATGTCGAGGGAAAATATCCAGGAATTGCTCAGCCAGATGTGAATGAGGAAAAATCGGATTGATGCTATATCAAAGTCGTTCACCTTTACTAGTATTGTTCTATTGAAAGAATACATGATCGTGTTTGTACAGCACATGGAAGAAAAATGAATAATGTATGGAATATAAATAAAATTTTCAAAAGTCTGCATGCATTCCTTTAATTATTTTTTAAAAATGAGGAGAGGCTCAGTGAAAGTTACCCAAAATGGGGAGATTTTCGAAAGAAGAAGAAGCAATGAAGTCTGTCGGTAGCTCAAAAAATTGAAGGTCCGCCAAGGAAATCACAATTTCTGATCATTTTCACCACGCTACTGTTCGTCGTTGTTCATGGTGAACAGATACTCTGTCGTACATTTTCATACACCTTTAAATGAACTTTAACACCGGCAGTCTCAATGACCACAGATTATATTGAATAGTGAAGATCTTAATTACTCGATGCTTCATATTAGTTTGTTTTTGTGATTTTTCAGCGCTCATAGATCCTGAACATACTTAGCCTCGTTATTTTTCCAGAAGACGCGTGTGGCGCAGTGATCGAAGGCGCCCTGCAACACACACATGGAATCGATTCCCATGCCCAAGGTCCACCAAGCCTTCCATCCCTCCGGGTTCGGTAAATTGGTACCAGAGTTATTTTGAAGGATAGCAGCACTGGCCCCATACATCGGTAGGCAACGTGAGTCGTTGTAAAGGCCAGGTGTGCATTCTGTCGCTTCCTACCGATGTTTAATGAAGTCGAATGGATGGCACATCCCTCAGGAATTGATCGACGCCGAGACCTTTATTCTTTATCCTTTTTTATCTTTTCAGAGTATTCTTAAAAGCAGACATTGAGCATTGCGTTACCGGAAACTCCAGAGCTTGTTTGACACTTCAGCTGTTTTCTCGGACATGTAAAACATATGTGAGGACCGTAAGGAAAATCCAAAAGAAGTAGAACCGATAGATACGTAAACTATATCGTCTTTCACACCTCTGGCAAAGCCTCTGCAGTCACCAATTGCACTTTTTGTTTTGTTCGGCTAATATTGTTGATGGTGTGCTCTCAGTGGCAACTACAGTGATGAGTGGTATCGCTGCAGGTGACGTTTGAGAGTGCTAATTCGTTCCTTTCCATTTTGCATCTGCAATCAAACGCATTAAACATTTGGTCCGCTTGATCTAATTTACGCTATATTGGTTGCAAATGGTGGTAGCGCCTTTGTTGATGATGCCGTTGATCAGCAAGCAAAGGCGCTAAAATTAAGTTCTCCGGAAACTGAAGTCGGACCTTTACTTGGTTTCCAAAGTGGGATACCTGAGCTTAGGAAAGCTTTACTGATTTAAATGTAAACCATTAGAATATACATATTTTTGCCAACAAAATATACAAGTTTATTTGAGTTAGTTGCATAAAACTTTGGCTTTCTCGAGGCGATGAAGTAATTGAAGGCAGTTTCGGGTCCGGTTTGGTTTATAAAGCATTTTTCGCGCAGCAAGTTATCGAATTCCTAGATGAAGTGGTAGTCGCTAAGCGAAAGGTTTGATGAATATGGCTAATAAGGTAGATTTTCGTAGCTCAGCTCGTTCACACTTTTCAGTGAAGGTGGTGCAACGTGTGATCGCGAATTAACGTGGAGAAAGATCGGTCCCATTCTGTTGACCAACAAGGGAGGCTGGCGTTTAAGTTTACGGCGCATTTTATCTACCCTCTAAACCTAATTCGCTCCCATAATCGTTTCAATCAGAGATGGGAAGCTATGATGGATTAAGCGAGCAGCAAACCGCAAAACGGCTAGCATAATCTTCTTTTTGTGCAGTTTCGCCTCTGCGAAGCTCGGCAGAACTTCATTGAGGTCGAACCACTGAGTCGATCGTCCCCGATTATCGTAAAGGAACCATTTCTCGCCCCATATCACAACACGGTCCAGAAACAGGTAGAGAAGGAAACGTATCAATTCAACGTAGTCAGTAGCTATAGGAAGTCAGCGTCCTCTTCCATTTTCAAGGTCAAATTCACCACAATGAAGTTCTCCAAACCGAAGTTTCACCACGCCATAGCCAACATTTCATTGGCTCCACGCTTCATTAACAAAACGCTAATAAAGAATTTGCGCCGCGTACGTCCGACTTTGGATGCGTGGAAGGAGATTTGCCGAAACCACTGTTTAGACATGTGAAATATTAACCTCGGCACTTTTTCGAAAAAAAAGCATGTTTCAGCATATTTTCGCTCCTCTGGCATGTATAGTCGGAGTGCGGATTAAAACAGCGGAATGCCGATTAAAAATGAAGTTCAGACAGATATATTGGTCTCTATGTATACAACGACCAACGCGTCTGAGATTCGCTCTCACCACTTGTATTGGTAGCTGCGTGCGCTTTTTCGAACCACAAAGATGTTGAGCTCGGAATCTCATGTGCCCTCCGAACCCGCGATTACCTTTTCCAGGAGCTCACGTGTTAACCACTACACCACATGAGGCCTTTGATTTCCCTTTGTCTCACCCAGTTTTTTACCCTAACGGTGCTATCGGCAATCACTCATCAACGGGAAAACGGACACAAATCGGCATTGATCCCAGTTAAGCTTAAGCTACAGTCGAAATAACAATGTTTTAACTTTTATGTAGTTAGTATTCCGCTTACTGCCTTCTTAATAATGCCTATTTTTGCTGAAAAAACTAAAGCGCCTAGATTAATGCAGTGGAAAATACGTGAGCTCCGGAAAAGGTAATGGTAGGTTCGGAGAACGCTTGAAGTTTCCAGTCTTTCTCATACCTCAGCATCCTTGTAGTTGTATTTCACATATTACCCCACCATGTAAAAAGGAAAAAGCAATTAATAAAAGTTAGAAAATTGTGACTTTTAGAACAATGTACTCATACAAGCACCGCCTTACTACCACTGTAACATATCAGTAGTAACGACTCACATATAAAAGACATCACGGAATTTTATGAACTCTCCCGTTTATGAGATGACATGAAGTTGCCACGAGGCTTCCCTGATGGCTAATTAACTAGCGTTCCGACGACTTCACCCTTCTTCAGAGTCTAGACATACTGTCACATTCTCGTTATTCGATGAATATTCTGTGCTCTTAGTATTTGTAAACGAAATCTAATATTTTCTAGCCCAATATTTGCCCTTTGAAAGGCATCACCAAAAAAAAACAAAAAAGGTGAAAAACTAAGAAAATAAGACTACCTATATGTGCTTCACATAAGAGTTGGCCACAAAACATCATCGTCAATGTTATCATTCCTGTGTCAGCTCAAAGAATGCGAGTTCGTAGGACAAAATAGCTTAGTGGCGAGGTTGATCGATAGTCGGTCTTTCGAGTCATCACAGAATGTCGCTTAGCTGGCATACGAAGTAGAGAACGACCACCTTTTGAGATGGCCATAAGGGAACAACACGAATAGGCGAATAGAAAATGTGTTGTGGGTTAGACAGCTCGTTAAAGTCAGGAACACAGATGTCTCCGAGTACTATAAATCCTGTTGGAGGAAAATGAGTAACAACATAGATATTTCCTTATTCGGACGTTCTAGTGCTTCCCAAACTCTCGGTACACCTGGGTGTCTCGAGAAGAAATTGAGTAAGTCGAGCTCACTAACACTGTCTTCCGAAAAAGCCAATGAGGAACAGTGAAAAGCAAAATCATGTTCAGCGACTTCCGTCCCATTAACATTGTTGTCTTATCTTCTTTCGAAAAGCAATTCTGTAAAGAGGAAGCCATGTTCCGGTCCCTCGTAGGACATCGGTGTAATTGTGGCGTTATCATGACTTACCAACTACGGAGAGTAAACAGATGTCAGTATGACGTGTGTGTCTTCCGGCCAATTTTCCTTGCGTGGGTGTATGGAGAACCCATACACAACAAGCACAGAGAGGATTCCGAAAACAACTCTGGCAATGTGTCCTTTATACAGCTCAATTCGAAAGTAATTATGGCTTAAATTTAGTGCTGAAACACGACTTTACTGAAACATAAAATAAGAATTTTCTGGATTTACACGTTACGAGCAAGGTTGGTTTTTACTTATTTCTGCAACTCAAGATTCTGGAGTTCGGGAAACCGCGAACTCCCTAAAGACACTTTCATCAGAAATTTAGTTCTTGAAAACCTTCAAGGCTAATAAATAAGGGTTCATGAGATGCTGGTAACGCGCATTCTACAGCTTTTGGTTGATCATTGTTTATACGAAGCCAAGACAACCGGACCTTTTCTGTCAGTTGCGTCTGCGTAAACATGCTGCAGTTTTTGTAAGATTTCATTGAGAATAAAAAGTAAATGTTATTTCAACTAGAGATTCAACTCAACTGGGTTCAATGCCGATGTGGGCTTCCCGATCCATCCCATTGACGGGTAATTGCTTATAGCACTGATCGTTAGAACTATCTGAGATGCAGGCGAAACTAAGGACCCACATGGTGTGGTGGTGAGCGCGTTAGCCCCAGTAAGGGTAATAGTGCGTTCGCTTCCCACCGCAGACACCTGCGGTCCAGAGTTTTGCAAACATCTCAGCAATATTGTGGCTGTATTTCGTGTAATAGCCTGCCGTAAAATTGTAGTAGGCAGAAAATAAAAAGTAAACAATGAGATTTCATCGACTTCATCAAGTTATGTCCGAATTCAAGACGCTTAATTGGACAATTTAGTCCGTCGAGACGAAGAAAACAAATCTCATCGAAATGATCCTTTGATGCAAATTCGACTTCTTCTATAATTCCTCTTTCCGCCTTTTACTCCAACCTCCCTGTCCGAATATCGGCTCCACATGAACATCGAATATCTGTCGTCCATTGCTAACCATTGCTATTAGGCAACAACGATTTCTGGCGCAAAGACTCCATCTCCATTACCAGAGCTTAAGGAACATTTGTGCATTGTGCTTTCGGAAACCCTCTCGTTGTCTATGCTTTGATAACATGTGGATCGGTTATTGTTGCTCTATATCCAAATTTTAGCTTACAAATCAAAACTATACGATTTTCATGCTTTGAGAAAACTGTTTAAACCGATTTTAGGTCATAGTAAGTTCCATCTCAAAAATCACCACTACATGGAACGAAACAAGCTTTAAAATGGTGGACGAAAATAATGTAAGACAGAAATACTTGATACTTGATACTTGAATGGCCCGTCCTCACTGGTTGCGCTGGCTCCAGCACAATTTCCACTTTCCGGAGATTTGCTGGTTAAGTCATTGTGTTTCCCTGAAATCCTGAGGTCAGCCTGGCCAAAGTCTGCACCATGTCGTCACCACGGCAGGCAGTCGCAGCACTTGTGGATCAGGGGAAGTTTGCCACCATGCGACTTTGAGAGCAGGGCTGTGGTGGATCCTAGTATTGGTTTAATCGTAGCTAGGCTTTCTAATGAAAACGCCAGACTCCTTCTCAGCTTTGGAGACCTGCAAGGGGTTGAATCCCTCGCTTTACATCACAATCCGACACTCAGGAACACTTTCCAGCTACAATGAGGCGGTGAACCGCTGGGCGGAGGAGAGAAATAACAATTACGAAGCGTGACAAGTAATGATGGCTAAGCCACCCATTATTCACCAGCCAATACGTTCAACTTCATTGTAACACTGCGTACACCCATTCTTTATGCCTATTTAGCCTGACACGTCAGAAATGAAAAATGGTCATTATGAACTTAAAAGTACCTTCTTTCAGACGTATGTTTATCTTGTTTTTCTCATTTATTTATCGCCTTAGCACTCACGAAGTTTTAGCGATTTGCTTAGCTCAGTGCACTCGCTTGAATTCTGCAGCTCTCCATTATAGGAAATGGATACCGTGATGAGAAGAGCAAAGCTTTTTATGAGAAATGTGATACCGAGAGCGAGATCGTTCCAATTTATTCCGAACTAGTGTGGAGGGATGAAACTGCTGACTTGATGTGCAGTTGTGCCTTCAGAAGTCGCTGTGTAGAGTAAATATACATTTAATCACCTCTTTGATGCGTAATGGAGTCGGAGGAAGAGCATCTTCGTTAAGCACCTTACTCTTTTATTTTAATGTGAATCTGCCTAAGACCAAACCAGTGTAGATAGAAACTTCTCTGTACTCACTGATCAAGATTTCTTATAAGTGATAACATTCCTCAGATGATTAATGTCTTGGTTTTTTACGAGCAACTAACGCAAACCACTGAGTGGCCGACGGGTTTTGAAGGTCGAAACAAGGAATGAATTGTTAACGAGTGTACAGAGTCAACGATCTGTGGAATCTGTTTGCCCAGCCACACAGGGACACTGAACAACGTCTTATCGTCAGCCGTCGAACTGCCGTTATCACAAATGAAGCTCGGACCGAGTTCTCTCCGTTTACTCACCACTTTCAGCAACAGCAACTGCTTATCCCTTAAGTTTCAATCAACTATCGAAGTCCTTCACGAGAATTCTATTGAAGGAGTCTGTTCTTACAAATCCATCCTTCAACTTTGCGAAATGCTTTAGCAACTTTGTGCTGTTCGCCTTCGTTTTTTTCTCCTAAAAGTATTACCCTACCTCTACTTTTTTAACAAAAATCTTTAGTTCTCTCAGATGTTAGTGATGTTAAACGAAAAGCTTAGTACTCGAGAATCGTTGGCTTGATTTCCCTTCTTCGCTTTCTCTCTTCTGCGACGTGCTCAAAGTTTTATGCAAGCATTTTCCTTAAAAGCCCATCGCTAAAAATAATGTGGGCTTGATGCTTTTGTTCTTCCGGTAGTATTTTTTCCTACAAAGTTTGAAGAAGACATTTGTCGTAATACTTTTTACTTGTGAAAAGTCTCCCCATTTTAGAACCTTTAGCATCTAAAGTGTTGTTCAAGTGCAACACCAATGAAGTGCCTCTTCTTCATAGCACTGATAGCTGCAGGTAAGAATAACTAGCGAAGGTAATCTACGACCAGGTCGAATTTTGCGAAGGTTACGGTGGCGAGTTACTCTACAAAGGATAAAGCTAAAAAATAGGTTAACAAAAAAGTTGATAAAAACAAAGTTACAGCAGCTGTCTTTGGAAGACGATCATGTCGCTCCCAGTCCAAAATCGTTCTGTTTCAGGTGACAAATATATTAACGAATTACCAGCATTTAATAGGAAGCCTAACTTATACAACGAGTGTTTCCTGTCTAAGATAGGTTGCTAGGACGAGATACATTTCTTTGAACAAATAGTCAATCATATTGAGCAAGAAATGCCCTCGTCATCTTTTCACATGGTTTTGGACAGTAATCTTTTTAGAGTTACTGCGCTTTTGTAGAGACGTTGAGGAATTTCTAGAATACTCTAGAATCGCTTAAGAAAGCAAGAAAGTTTCCTAACCGCTGAAAAAAGTCCGTTCGCCCATTTGACAAACTTCTACATGCTATTGACAGCCTTCTTTTTCACGTTACTTTTTTTCTAACTATTCTCACGCAGCAGTTCAACATATGGGCCGTGAAGGAGTTAGGAGGCTAAAATAGGAGTTAGCTAAAATAATTTTTAAATGAAAATTGAAAGGAAATCTATGGCATTTTACATTCCATGGTGGTGAGAAAACCAGGAGACGCGTGCAGCAGAGTGGCCTGAAATACATACATGTCTCTTGGTTCGACCTCGTACTCCTGAGCTAATTAGCCCCATATCCCTTCGAGGTCCACAGATTGGTGCCTGTCGGGAGGATGGATGCAATGACTTGACAGATCATTAGCCACCGTAATATGATTGCATAATCCAAATATCTACTTATTCACCTCCACTTTTAATAATTCTCCGTGAGATTGAGCTGACTCGAGGTTAGTATAAAAGCTTTAAGATATTAATCATCTTTGCTTGTTCAAAAAAGTTGAATGCGTGATGGATACTTAAGAAACTGATTGAAGCTGGAAATGCTCTACTTCAAAATTCCCTAAAAAATTTGGAATTGTGAAATTTTTCCTACAGCTAAGTCGTGATGTCGTGATTTTAGTAATATTATAAATTCATTCTCACTTTAAAGGATTTCTTAGAACAAAAAGCATCTCCAACATTTCCACATTGGGACCTGAACTAACACATCATGCCTGATCCTGTTTGGACCGTTGTCAGAAGGTGTACTACTTTAACCGCAGAACACCCTCGGCGGAAGTGTTTGTCGCTTCGACGTTCCGTGCATGAGTGTCACCGAGCTGATTATCTCTGCCTGAACTCCAATCAGAAAAATAGCTGATGCATGCAAATGGCAAAAACGTCCACCGTGAACATGTGTGACAAAGACTTGGATTTCTGATAGTAGTATCCTTTCGACAGTAGAACTTGCATGGAGCAAAGCGCTCGGAGTTGATCAATGTCTGAGTGATACGCCATGCATTTGACTTCATCACGCGTCATGAGGGGTGATCGCACGCATATCTGTCCCATATTACCGTATACCAACTAATGTATCAAGTTTGTCCTGCTATCCTTACAGAAAAGTATGATATTAATTTACCGACCTCGGAGAGATATACCGTTTGGTGAGCCCAGGGAACGGGGTTGAACTAGCGACCGAGCTATACTGCTAACCACATTTGACAACTGCGCTACACGAGACTAACAGATTTGGTGGATTTCAAAAATATGTTTCCATAAATCGCTCATTTTTCGGTGGATTTCGACTTTTTTAGAGAATTTAAAGGTTATGCAACCTGATCAGCAAGATATTTCCGTAACCACAATGATGTTGAGATATTTGCAAAATTCAGACTCCAGGCCAAATTCGCACCTGTGACTGCCGTTCCAGGTGTTTTACTTGTTACCCATTGCTCCACTGAAGCTCTTGCTTTGCCTTTTTCAGCCAGTTTTTTACGCTAGCGGTTCCATCATCAATCCAAGGAAAGAAGAAAGAAATTGGCTAAGGGAAAGCAAAGCTTAAGGCCTCAATTGTGCAGTGGCTTACACGTTAGCCCTTGGAAAGGGTAATCGTGGGTTTGAATCTGCCCTGCGGTGTAAGCTTTGCAAATGCCTCAGCATCATTGGTGTTATATGTTACCTAATACCTCTCATAAAAAAATATTGGCTAGTGAATGAAAAGTTACACCTCCATAACCTACCTAGAAATCCGCAACAGAAAATCAGTTTTGGTTGGGGATTATCGAAATGTGTTTTCATGTGTTTTCACGATGTTAATGCTTTGCTTACTTCCTATTTCAATTTTTGCAGATCACTTCCGTTGACGGATGACTGCTTATGGCACTAATCGATAAAACTAGTAAAAGAGACAGAGAGATAAGAGAAACGAAAGACCCGCATAGTGTGTTGGTGAACGCGTTGGCCCCTTGAAAGGGTAATAGCACGTTCGTTCCCCATCACAGGCACATACGGTCCGGAGTTTTGCAAATCACCATCGTTGTGGTTATGCTTTCTTAACTCTATAAACGAAATTGTTTCCGATTCTGAGTGTTCACAAGGGATTTAGTGCATTCCATGTTACAAGGAACACTTCGTTTTAGATTTGTTTTCTATAAACTGTTGGAGTTTTTTCAGCTTCGGCGCTGATGTGCAAGATGTGCGACCGCTACGTGTCATGCGCGAATGAAATTTCAGAACAGTGCCCTCCCTATACGAGTTGCTACACTATCAAATCAAACGGCGTAGGTCAGCACATTGGTTTCTGGTTACTATGTTATGAGCTTCATATCTCTTACGCACGGCATAGATTACGGCCTCATCAATTTGCGATTAATAAATTTTAGTGGATTTTTGTTCTATGGCGCTTTCCACCTTCACATACTGCACTGACGACTACGTTAGCGAAAGTTCGTTAGTAAGAGGGTGATGCTAGGGGTATCCCCATCGCTTGGGTAGGAAAAGGAATCTGATGTTCCGACCATTATTGGCTTTCAAAAAGGATGCTACCGCATGCAGCAATATGAGAGAAGACTGTCAAGGACTCAAGAAGAATGCTGCTGACGGAAAAAATCACAGCAGAATCGATAATTTCTTAGATAACACTGCGAAAATCAGGCATGCCATTCTGACTATTTACTGTTTAAAGATATAGACACAGAAACAAGAAATAGACAGAGACAAAAGAAATAAAGAATCTCATTTTTGACGGCGGCTAATTCGCACTACAGTCAATAGTCAATTCGCTCAATAGGACAAGTTATACAATAATGAGTAAGGTTTTTTGGGTAGGCCAAGAAATCTTGAAGCAGAATGGAGATGTGACGATTTTTTAATAATAGAAGTTCACTTTTTGTAGAAACGGAACTTCAGGAAAAGACAGATGCCATTTTCAGAATAACAGGGCATTCAAAAAGCAAACATAAAGGTGAAGACGTCAGCATTTTTAAAATGGGGATGATTAAGAGAAAAGAGAACCTAAATACAGCAGGAACGAATGACTTGGTATAGTGTTGAAACGCTTCGACTGCCTGTCGTAGGAAAGCATCGGTTATACTGACCAACAATCGTTTGCCTTCCACTCAGTTTCCCGCTAGCTTGAAAATTTTTCTTCATTTTTATTGAGTTCTCTAGTATCTGTGACAGGAGGTTCTAGAGTCATCGGTGTGCTCCGTCACCAGTCTATTTGAACGGTGCTTCTCAAGAAAGATTTATCACCTTCGGGCAGCGCTTTTCTAGAGCGGTGGGAATTTTAGCATTACTTTACTTGTGTTTGAGATTTTGCATAGATATCAACTCCATCTTAGCTTCACTAGTAATGCTCTACGTGCGAGCTCTCTGCTTTTCGTCACATTTCAAGAGCCGGGATTTCGAGACGGCCACACTAGGGCGCTGAACCATTGAGAAAAACCATCTACAACGATTTCTATTGATGCCGATGGTGCAACTTTTGCAATGAGGCTTTCCGAGCAAAAAAGAAGACATTCCACATTTTTTATAAGTCATGCAATGTATAATAAGTTGTTCTATAAGAACTGTCGCTCTGTTTACAGTGATCGGTCTTCTAAGTAGCATCTTCTGGCGTTTTCTGCATCCTAACAATGCTCCTGACATACGAATCAACGTTATTATGAAATATGGGAAGCCATTTAACTGTAGATCAAAGGCGATCAGAATTGGTTTGAGAGATTACAAGTATTGAAAAAGCGATGCCGACTCTTTCAGTGACTCACAAGGGATGCACCGTCAGTTGTGCTGCGCTTCCGTACGCCGTCGCAGGTGCGCATTGTACCACTTGCAACTTCCGTGATTATTGTAACGGTAATTATTCCTAGTTCGACCAGAAAATTGTTACAAATTTAGGAAATATTTTTTACTGTTTAGTAGAACACTCAATTGGATTTGGAGTTAATTCCAACGGCAAAGGCGACGGCAACACCGGTATCGTCTATGTATCCTATTATTTTTATTTTTATTTTTTCTTCATTACCACTGTGCTATCCGTTCCTCCTATGTATCCTAGTTCTCTAAAGTCTTAAATTTTAACTAAATTTTCAACTGAAAAACGACCCATCTCTGTTAACATATAACGTTCACGAATAATGAAGACAAAGGACATAGCCTGTAGCTTTTTCCAGCAGTGAAGTGTTCTTGTCCTACCATGGTGGAATTCTACTTTCCTGGAGCTGGCTAGATGTTTTCAGCACCTTTTTTTCTTACAATACCCGCATTGATGAAATAATCTCTTTTGATAAAACCACAATGTTGTTGTGATATTTGCAAAACTAGGGACCGCAGGTCTATGCGTTGGGGATTGAACACAGTATTACTCTTTTCAAGAGGGATAAGGCGTTCACCGCCAAACCATGAGTGTCCTTCTTTTCGCCTTTCTCTCAGCAAAATCTTTTCTAAATATCGTTAAATTTAGTTAAAAAAGTTTTCAGCGTGATTTGAAAAGTGCGGGTGCAAAAAATTGAACGGTGTGAATTACTCAAACATCTGCATTCTGTACTTTGTATTTTTATCCGTACAGTAGCAACGATAGGAATAAAATATGACTCTCCTTCTCTTCGTCTGTTTATCTTACCGTGCACAGTTCTGTGGCACATTTTCAACTGAATCAATTAGTCTCACACCATAGATATTGTACTGTGCGTTTTCTAAGGAAGGCTACTTTTCATGTATCACGTCTTGGCAAAATCTGCTTGTGCTTGGGATGATTTTGTCCAACTCTATGAATCTGGTTGCGATTACCTTGCCACTATAGGCAGGAAGAACCTAGGTGAGGAGGGAAATTTTAAGGCGCCTTCGCGGGAGTACTACACGGAAGTTCGAAAATTCGAAGCACTCCTCATTGTGGTAAGGTGTTAGACAATTCGAAAGTTGTTAACATCGATATCTAGTTAGTATTGACAAAATTATCGGTCGTAGAAGAACTCGGTTTCCACAGAATTTGCATTCTTTTTCATCTAAGCATTTTTTCTTTAAAAAGAGTTCTTAATGCGTTTTCCTAACAACCTCCCCTGAAAGTTGTAGGTGTCGTCCTCGAAAAACTATTTCGCAATTTGCAATTCTACAAGTCAACATGACTCGTACGGTCCAAAACTCCTTTCTCTCATTAATTTCTCTCATTCTCTCACCAAAACTCCCAAAACTCTTTAGCAAAGGTCCTTTCTCTAGCTTTATCCACACAGTGTGCAAGGAATCGTCGTAAGACTCTTGCATAGGAAAACACTCGTCCTGACAGGTTATTTTCAGTTGTATAAAGTAGCTTTTCGCTAGCGATGTCAGCTGTACGATCGGTAGTTGGATAGGTATCGATTTCACACATGAGTCTGGGCGCTTAATTTTGCGTAGCTGAAGCGTGACACAACGACTAACTTCATATGGGTTACGGACTTGATGAAATTCGTCTACCATTCAAATGCAGTGCTATCATCACAGTTCGGAACCTCGAAAATGTGCACATGTTAGAAAATCGAAGAGATCTGAACATCGATCGACTCCTCATCAAACATGGCAATGAAGTAGCTGAAGATATGGAGGACGATATGCAGCCTTCTGTGATTTTCGCTGTACAGTTCGAATTAGGTGAAACGAAACGAACAGTGAAGATGCTCTTAAGTAGGTCTCATCTGAAGCTAAAGAGTGAACTATGGATAACACAAAGGACTTCAGATGCGGAAAAATATTAAAGGATGAGAAGATATGATAGCCTTCATTACGATGTCGATAGTTCATAACAAAACTGTTCACCACAACTGCATCAAAGAACTATCGTTGTCACATGCAGAGAATATCGTTGAACGACATCAAGATGATCGTCTGCTTCCGTTACATTGGAAACGAGTGCTTACACAGCGTTGATTTCATATGTTTTTGATGGAAGTGGGATAAGTGGGCCGAGAACATGCAAACGATATGGGGGATGTTCTAAGGCGTTGCTAAGGATTTCAAATACAAACATAATGACAACCAGACGCAAACGCTGTTGATAAGACGTTGCAAAACACCGTTGTTTAGAATGTTTCAATATTTGTCATCCACAATGCAAGCCTTTAGTATAAAGTGCGGTTCCGAAATGCATGTGAGTAAGAATTGAACGGCCGGCGTAAAAATCCTTTATTGCGGTGGTAATTTCATCTTTCAAACTCTTTCATAATTCATATTTCATATATTAATAGAAACTTAAAGCTCTCGGCGTTGATCAATCCCTGAGGGTGCGCCATGCATTGGACTTCACTAAGCATCGCTTGGAGCTTATTGCATGCATATCTGGCCTTTACAATGACTCGCGGTGGGCTACCGACGTATCGAACCAGTGCTGCTATCCTCCCAGACCAGTCTGGTACAAATTCTTCGGCCGCGGAGGGAAGACTTGGTGTACCACCAGCGCCGAGATCGATCCCATGTGTGTATTGCAGGGCGCACACCGCTGCGCCACACGCGCCTCTATTTCATGTATACATTTATTACATATATTATTGTTGCCAATTCTACGCTAAATATGCAAACTGTATGTACATATAAATTGCAAATTATTTCAAAAAAAAACTTAAAACGATGTCCTTCAGCACTGTTTTCTCAGTGAAAGGAAATGGTAAGAAGACTTGATAATTGTTTTTTAAAGCGGAGGTGTACTCATGGATTTAGATGGACCTACAGTCTTTGATCACCAAGCTACTCTTAAGAGCTTTCTTTATTCGTCTACTAACTTACCATAGGAAAAAGCTGTTCTTAAGTGTCGAATTCAGTGTTCAAGTAGAGGGATTTCTGCGACCTTTTCGACGCCAAGGTATTCTCACTGCGATAGAAACTCAGCCGTAAAGACGGTCTTTTCAAAGTTACTAAGCATCGAGAACACCTTTTCATAGGACACATTCACACATCATCGAAACCGAATGCAAAAATGCATACAAAAACCCTGTGGGACAAAATAAAGTCGCTTAAAAATGAGGGCATTGGGATCACCGCACTTCATCGGCTTCGAACTTCACACATGAATTACATCCAATAAGATTTCGGCGCAACGTGTGTTGATATGAAAAGTGTCCGGAAGAAGTACTATTATTTTCTTTAAGGGAACAGCTAGAAAGAAAACAATGCAAGTATGCAACAACTTAGCTCGGATCTGCTTTTTAAAATTTAGGAATGGTTTTTTAAAAATATTCTGCGCACCACCAACACATTACGTACTTATGTTTTGTTCTCGTGGTTTCCACTCTCTCCTTCTCTTCTCCACTGCCTCTAATATTATCATTGTAATAATGAACGGTAGAACTGGTGAAAACGGGGAACATTATTCAGGAAATGCGGGAATCGGGCAAGGAACTCGACCGGACTACGGTAGAGGTATCTTGTCTTCGCAGTATTTGTTTAATAAAATCATTTTTCCCTGGATCGACTTTCTATAAAGCTCAGCATTGGATTACAAATTCTTTGTTTTCTTTCTCAGCAATCGCGAGGTTGTCAAACAGCATACATTTACTTCTGTACAATAACACACCGACAACACAACCGTAGCTGACGTTTCGGCAGAATCGCCTTCTTCGGAGCCTGGAAGGGTACACTAATACGCAATTTACTAGGTCAAGCGCTTCAACAGCACGAACAGAAGGATGAAAACGTGAACGACAATTACAAGATCTACGGCTT